TCTTTAAAGATGTTATTGAGATGTATGTCCTGTATTGTTTACCTATATTTTCTTTTATATATTTTTAAAGATTTATTTATTTATTCATACAGAACTGGGGTGCAGGCCAGAGGTTCAAGGGGATGAGAGGAGTCACTAGACGCAGAGCAGGAAGCAGAACAGGCAGATCAACCAAGTACACTGCTGAGAGGAGCAGCGGGTGGGTCAGGAGAGATCTGCCATACCATGTGGGTCATCTCCAGGGCTGGGGATTGAACTCACACTGAAGCGGCTGTGTCCAGCTTGCAGTGCTGCATCCTAAGCCACTGCACCACCAGGGAGGGCCCTGTATTCAATTCTTTTATCCATTTTGAGTTGATATTTGTGCATGATGGTTTGAGTAGTAGTTTATTGAACAAACTTGTTCCATTTCATAGTCTTTGCTCCTTTGTCAAAGATTAATTGTCCGTATAAGTGTAGTATTCTGTCCCATCAGTCTGTGTGTCTATTTTTATTTCAGTACCACCCCATTTTAATTATTATGACTTTATAGTGTAGTTTGAAATTTGGAAATCTGATACCTCCATTCTCCTTTGTTTTCCTCAGTAGGGCTTTGGCTATTCAAGGTTTTTGTTGTTGTTGTTCATATAAATTTCATCAGTATTTTTTCTATTTCTTTATTGAGATTTTATTGGAATAGATTGAGATTTTTATTGGAATCTGTACATTGCCTTTGGTAGGACGGACATTCTAATAATGTTAATTCTTCCAATCCATGAGCAAGAGATAATTTTCCATTACTTTGTGTCTACCATTTCTTTTTTTCTCTTTATTTTAATATATATATATGTATATGTACATATATATATACATATATGTACATACATATATACATATATTATATATATTTACAACATTTACAACATTCTTCATTTTGTGCATTTTTTCATCTCAGTTGTAATCCCCATGGGCTTCACACCACCAGTTCACCCATGTGCCATCACCACAGTCCAGTGCACTCTTTTCACCACAGTTCCAATCCAGTTCCCTCTCCCACCCCCATAAAATATCTCTGGTTTATAGTTGTTCATTGTTTTCATTCTTACTCTATTACATTTGTCTGTCTCTCTCTTTTTTTTCCCGCCCTGATCCCTTACACTCCTGCTATGAGTAAAATCATTTGGTATTTTTCTTTTTCCTTCTGGCTTATTTCACTAAGCATGATCCCTTCCAGCTCCATCCATGTTGTTGCAAATGGCATGAGTTTATCTTTTTTGATTGCTGAGTAATATTCCATTTTATATATACACATCTTCTTAATCAAGTCATCTATTTTTGGGCATTTGGGTTGATGCCACATCTTCCCTATTGTAAATAGAGCATCAATAAACATGGGGGTATAGGTGTCCTTTTGAATCAGTGTTTTTGTGTCCTTTGGGTAGATACCTAGGAGTGGGATTGCTGGATCATATGGAAGCTCTATTTTTAGCCTTTTGAGAAACCTCCATACAGCTTTCCCCAGTTATTGTATCAGCTTGCATTCCCACCAGCAGTGTAGGAGAGTTCCATTTTCTCCACATCCTCGCCAACATTTGTTGTTGCTAGTTGTTTTAAGATGTGCCATTCTTACTGGTGTGAGATGGTATCTGACTGTGGTTTTAATTTACATTTGCCTTATTACAAGTGATGGTGGACATATTTTCATATGCCTGCTGGCCATCTGCATTTCTTCTTTGGAGAAGTGTTTTCGTAGCTCTTATGCCCATTTTTTTATGGGTTGTTCACTTTATTTTTGTTAAGTTTCATCAGCTCTTTGTGTAGCTTTGTGATCAATCCTTTGTCATTAGTATTATGTGCAAATATTTTCTCCCAATCAGTGGGGTGTCTCTTTGTTTTGTGTAGTGTCTCTCTTGCTGTACAGAAGCTCTTTAACTTGATGTAGTTCCAGCTGTTTATTCTTTCCTTCACTATCCTTGCTTTGGGAGATATATCTTTAAAGATACTATTGAGATGTATATCATTTAGAGTTTCACCTACCTTTTCTTCTAGATATTTTATGGTTTTGGTTCTTATGTCTAGTTCTTTCATCCATTTCGAGTTGGTTTTTGTGCATGGTGCGAGGTAGTAGTGTAGCTTCATTTTTTTGCACATAGCAGTTCAGTTTTCCCAGCACCGTTTGCTGAAAAAAACATCCTTTATTCCATATTCTTTGCTCCTCTGTCAAAAATTAGCTGTCCATAAAACTGTGGGTTTATATCTGGGTTTCCTATTCATATCCATTGGACTGTATGTCTGTTCTCTAGTACCATGCAGTTTTTATTATTATGGCTTTGTAGTATAGCTTGAAATCTGGGAGTATGATGACTCCATTCTTTCTCTTTAGTCATGAGTGTTTTGGCTATTCGAGGTTTTTTTGTGGGTCCATATAAATCTCATCAGTATTTGTTCTATTTCTTTGAAGAATGTAATTGAGATTTTTATTGGAATAGAGTTAAAATCTGTATATTGCTTTGGTAGGATTCATTTATTGATATCTGCTAGTTGTTTGTTTTTTTTTTTTTCTTGGTCCAGAGATATTTTTTTCACATGCCTATCATGCCTTGAATTCATAGGAAATAGCTTCCACCAGCTCAGGCTCCTTTCCATTGGAGCTCACGTGGTATGTTTCTCCAAGTGGAACAGACTAGTGTTTTAATTGACCCCAATATCTTTCTCTTTGTCTTCCTTTTATTCCTAACCATTTTCTTTCACATGTTTTAGGAAGATTTCTTGGCTTTTAGTGTGCTCAATATGCTCAATATGAACATTAATTTTCTTGGCAATAATCATTCCTTTGTTTACAATGCCAACTCCACACTGGGTAACATTGCTTCCAGTTTTGCCATGGTAATTATTTGTGGGGCATTCATTTTTGAACAATGCCTGTTTCCTGCTGGCTACCTTTCTTGTAGATTTGTAGATGTGGCCAAAGAAAACTCCATGTTTTCTAAAAGTCTAGATAACACATCTAGTGCATCTACTCTGTCCCTTTGTATTTGTCATTTAGGCCAACTTCCTGGAAGATGACAGTTCTGGCTGAAAGTGCTGTTAGTTTTTATTAGTGTTTTATTTCATAAAGTCTTCTAATGTGTAAATTTCCAGTATTTCTCTTTGTCATTCTGATTTACTTTATACCCATAATTCCTTTAAACGCCTTACATTTTTCTGAAAATAGAAGCATTTTGTCTTTCCTTATGACTCCATAGTATGGATGGTATCACATACTCTTAATGGGGAGAACATTTTTTTCCTTCTTTTTCCTTTTGTATTTATATGAAAAGATGAATGTTAACTAAATCTGTTGTGATAATCATTTCATAATACATGTAAATCAAACTACTGTACTATATACCTTAAATTTATTCAGTGATATCTATCAGTTATTTCTCAATAAAATTAGGGGAGAATGGAAGTAGGAATTCCAGAAATGACTTGTATGTCATTTTGATACATATGAATGCCTAAAACTAGTAAACATATTAATATGTTCCAGTTAATTTTTGTTAGACACTAAAGCAATTTTCACTAATAAATTTCCATTTAATATTTAATCTCCTTGAATCTAGCTTTCTGTTGTACAGGGTTCATAATCACAGACCCTTTTTAAGAAATTACTGATTAATATGTCCCTATTTATTAAGTAATTTGCTCATCCATTTCCCAGATTATTGCATGGGTTGGCATGATACAATGGAAAGCACACTAATGTAACCATTGGGATTCCTAGCTTCTAGCCCTAACATATAACCCCAGCTATTTATCCTATGGGTCCCAGTCATCTCTATGTATCCTAGTGTCTCGTCTATAAAGTAGAATTTTACCTATACCATAGTTCTGTTACAAATTTCAAACAAAATAAGGAGAAATAGTTTGAAGGTGTTAATTTGGAAGATTCTCACATTATCTTTTATTTAGTTAATAACAGTTTAAAAAATATGCCATAACAAATGTGTGATAAATTTTCACATTAAATTTCTGGGAAGGTTACTGTGCTTAAGTTTTACAACTGTATTTATCAAATACATTTTATACCTATTCTGTAATCACTGACTTGAAATCAGAAAAATTATAATTCTATGAATCTTTTCTATGAGATTAATTTGGTAAGCATATATAATAGTGCTAAATAACTTAAAGATTTACTATGACGTTCAGATTAGAATACTTAGTTGATGGAAATATCTATAATTTTTTTTTTCATCTTTTTGGATATCTTCAGCTCCAGAATACATGAGCCCTGTTAAGCCATCTGTATCCTGTTTCTGCTATTCTACACACACTTTTCTTTTATCATTAACAAACAGAAATATTAGTTAAAAATTTAAGTGAGGTTTTAGTTTTCTAAAGCTTATTGAATAATACAAACTGCAGCTCTTGTCGACTGACAAGTTCTGCAAACAGAAATATTAGTCAAAAATTTCAATGTGATTTTAGTTTTCTGAAGCTTGTTGAAGATCAATGTTATATTCAAAAGGGAGAGAGTCTTTTTTAAGCATTAGAGTTCCATGCTTGGTTCTGCTGGCAGCTAGTTGTAAGACTACAGGCATGTCAATTTACTTTTTCTGGGCCTCATTTCCCTATTATAAAAGGTGATTGTGATTAGATTTCTAAGATTCTTTCCACCTTTAACATTCTGTGATTTTTAAAAATTATAAGTGGAATCTGATGAAAACATAAGGGTTGATTCTAATTTTGTTATAAATACTATTTATTATACTTGATTTATACCTAACGTGACCATATAATTTGCCATCTAAACAAGAATAAACTTTTTTACAGTGAAAGGGGTACTGTTAGTAATGACTCAAGTATAGCGCCATTAAATCAGGACTGTTCCAAATAGACAAGAATGTCAGGTTACCTTATCTGTACCCCCATGCATTTTTCTGTTTGCTTCATTGCTTGTCAAAGAAGCTTATGTATTTATCAGTTTTAATTGATAAATTTTGAAATCTTGATAGATTTCCTGTTTTTTATTACAGATCCACTGTGTGTAGAGAGTAATGCAGCATCAAGTCACCAATCTTCAGCTAGTAAAAAAGGGATGTTCACAGATGATTTACACAAGCTGGTGGATGACTGGACTAAGGAAACAGTAGGAAATTCTCTTATTAAGCCAAGTTTAAACCAACTTAAACAGAGTCAACACAAACTGGACACAGACAACTGGAACAAGGTTTATGAAGTAAGTTCTTTATACCTGAGTCTCTTTATGAGTAGTAAAGCGATAAAATTTGATTCCCTTAGGCCATGGGCACAGTCAGTACTAGAGAGTGGTATGAATTGACAACAGAAAGGCCTTTAACCTTGTCTAGATCATTATTTCTTTGAGCAAATTTCAGACCCCGTGTCAGTAAACTTTCTGATTGAGTAAATATTTTCAAGCCATGATGTTGTAGCTGCTAACCTCTTTCATTCTAGTGTACAGCAGCAGACATAAATAATACATAAATGAATGGGCATGGCTTTGTTCCATTATAACTCAATTCACAAAAAATAGAAGTAATTGGCTACTGATTGCTAACCCTTGTTTTAGAATGTTAATTGTACTTAAAAAATCAACTATCAAAAGCGAAATCATCTGAAGTGAGAATCAGTTCAGTTCTATAGTTGCAAGAAGAGTTTCGGTTTTAAGGAACAGCTATTTCATGTTGTATATCAATTTTCCTCGAACCAATAAAATGTCTTATTTGTCCACAATGAAAAAGAATTTCAGAGCTCTTTAAGCTGGACTATTATAAAAGGCAGCTTAACTGTGTAGATGAGATGCCTAGTTAATTACATATGGCCTTACTCTGATATACATGTCTTTAAAATATAGAAGATGTCCACAGTACATTCTGAAGTGGAAAGAAGGCAGACTTAAAGAATATCTATCTGTGTATGTGTGTGTGTGTGTGTGCATATTGTACATCTATGTACAATATTTTTCCAGAGTTACATACATTATATATATGTGCATATGCATAGACATAGGCAATGCCATTAACAATTTGCTAAATGGTGGAATTTGGACCTTATTTTATTTGTACTTTTCTGTCTTTGAATTTTTAAGTATTTCTTTTCAATATAAGTCTATTAAAATGTGAATCAGGACTTAGAATCTAAACATTTACAGTTGACAGTGATATCTCTGTATGTGTGTGTTATTTGTATATGTGTGTGTATCGTTACTGCATATAGCTTGGTGAGCAAAGTCTAAAAATGCATTTATGGTGAATAAAAATGTTCAATATCCTAGATTCCCCAAACTAGTGAGCAGTGTATGTGCTTGGGGGATCTGTGTATTTATCTTATTCCTGGCACAGGATTATACATAGATTGTATCACCTTTGTAAAAATTGGAAGTGTTTAGAGACAGATTTCAAGGCTTAAGTGTATGTATGCTGCCAGTGAGAAATCCTCTGAGTGCTGTGTGAATGGAGGCTTTTGTTGATTGGTACTACAGTTGTTGATTGCAGTGTAGTGGGGAATGTTTAGAGGAAACATAGAGAATGGAATTTGAATGAAACTGGTGAAGGGTTTCCAGTTTCAGCTCAGTTATTTGCTAGTTTTTCAACTCTAGACAAATCATCTGCGCCTCCTCCGTTTTCTTGACTTTAAAACAAATATAATACTTGCCCTGCAAGATAGTTGTGAGAATTAAATAACACCTATAAAGTATCTAGTACATAGTAGGGAGAATATATACCATGACTATTTTTGTATTTTTAGGTTCAGTTTATTATATCTTTGTGTAGAGAGAATCTCACTATCTAATGTTCTTGCATGTTACTAATCTCTAGCCTTACTTTAAAATTTTGTCACAATTATGTGCCAGGTGCCTTACTGTATGCCAAGCCCTATGTCTAGACACAGGTTTTGATGAACAAAAACAAGTATACTCCCTATTCTTATGGATTTATACTCTAGTGGGATAGTTAGACATTAATGGACTTATATAAATATAAATTTTAATGTAATCAAGACTGCACAGGTGAGATTCGGATACGATGCAGAACGGGAAATTTAACCTAGTAAAAGAAAGTCAAGAAAAGCTTCTCTGAGGTGATAACTGAGTAGAGATCTGCAGGATGTGTTGATGTTAACTAAGTTAAAAGGGGAGGAGAATATGATTTTGAGCAAAAGGAACAGTACATATAAAGGCCTTGTCTGAGGAAAGAGAGCATGAAGAAACTGAAGTAGGCTCGTGTAGTTGAAGTAAAGGGAGCAGAAACATGTTGGTGCACAGTCAATCTAAGGAAATGTAGATAGGATCTTAAAAGTGGTGATAATAGTTACTTTGTCTTCATTTTATGAAAAATGGATAACCATTGAAACCTCGGGGTTGACATGATCAAATTTACTTTTCGAAATGTGCTTTTTGAAGCAAGAAGAAAGTATTACTGGGAATAAGGATCAATATTGGTAGACTAATTAAGAGTTAATGAGAGTAGTCCAAATAAAGGGGAATTTAGATGAAGAAAGGTAAAAAAAAAACTCCCCAAAGAGTTAAGGTAAAATGGGTAAGATTTAGTGATGGAATTGATATATGGCAGTTGTTGTCAAGACTAGGTTTCTAGTTGGTATAACAGACAACCATTTTAGTGTATGAATCACTTAAAGGGATTTGAGCACGTAGTATGTTTCAGTAGAGAAAATATCCTATGCTTGAGTTTGGTCACTGAAATCTGAGATACCTTTTAAATATCCAAGACAAGATTAAGTATAACAAGTCATTATCAACTCAGTCTTTGTTTAAAATAAAAATCTATTTATTGCTTGTAAAATATGTTCATCACAGAATTTACTCAATGCAGAAAAGTACAAATTTTAAAATGCTACCTTCAAGTAGATAGATATAATTTCAGGTATCTTTTTATACATATGGATGCATGGATATGACTAGGAAAATGTGGGCACACTAAGTTATTATTAAATTTAGTTTTACCTTAACAGAACAAAAAAACTGTTATGAAGAGATTGTTGAACTTTAAATAAATAAATGTGATTTGTTTGACTGCAAGGCATATTTTCATTCATTCTTGAGTGAAGCAAAAAACAATTACCTTAATTTAATTGAAAGAGTTTTAGCTGGACCATTTGATTTAGGAAAATTGGTATTAATACCAAGCTCTCCTTTAAGTGAAAATTATTTACATCCATTAGACTTACTATTCCTATGTGCCTAACTAAAATTTCATAATCTCTATACATATGCATATTTGTAATATCATAAGCTTAGAAGAAACAGACAATAATATATTTTCACTGCCAAAAACATAATTGCTTTGAGTTTACATTTCCAATAATAAAATAGATTTGTCAGATTTAAAAATTGTGATTAGAAGGGGATAAGGAAGATGACGTTTCTTGAGTACCTACTATATACCAGCCTTTCTCCTGCCACACTAAATCATGCTTATCTATCGGCAAAGAATTATGCAATAACACTGGCTTCTTTCTATGGCACTGAGAGAGAGAGACTGCCTGGGACTAGCAGAAAGAGTAGCAGAAATAAAAATAGAAGAGTAGTGTCAGCATGAGACATAAAATGTGAATAGAGATTTAGCATGGGCCTTGGAGTTAGCAGGAACTGTGTTAAATCCTTGCTTCACTGTGCGCTTTCTTACTGGTATTGAGTAATAACAATTTTGAGTGTCTAGTTCCTCATCTGAAAATATCTAACTTACAAGGGCAGTTATGAAGATGAAATGAAATGTGTGTAACTATGTTTAGTACACAAAAAGGCGAATACTGCGTAGCTACTTATAGTAATAATAGAAGTAATAAGCCAAATAAAATAGAAAGGATTATAGATGGATAAAAACATCTACAAATAAACTGATCTTTTGTTTTTATTTTTTTGTTAGAATACTCCATCTACTATGGGCTACACATCAACATGGATTTCTTCTCTGTCCCAAATCCGTGGAGCTGTCCCAACCTCTTTGCCACAAGGACTCCCACTCCCTTCATTTCCTGGGCCATTATCATATGGAATGCCCCATGTTTGTCAGTATAATGCTGTGGGGGGACCAGGATATCCACTACAGTGGGTAGGGATTTCAGGAACGCCACAACACTCTGTAGCAATTCCTGCCCAATCTGGGGGACCATTACAGCCGGGAATGAATTTGCAGGCGTTTCCAATTTCACCAGTGCAGAATCCATCCACAATCCCTCCTGGTCCCAAATGAATCAGGTAGATGATGAAGAACAGGGAGAATTTTTCAGAATTATTTTCAGGACACCTAAGATATTAAACCTTCTTTTTGGGTTTTGCAATGTTTTCCCTCACTTGTGTTTACTTTCAACTGTATATTTTTCGTTCCAATGTGGTATTTGATATAGCTCGTCACTCTGTAGATCTGTGCAGTTTGTGTATAGAATACTGCACGACAAATGTTTTCTTTTTTTCACTTCAAATCCTATCCTCTTTGATACTTGATTTTTTAAAAATACTGTTCAGAATGCTTTAGTAAGCTCAACTTGAGTATTACCATTTCCAGGACACTTCCCATACATTGCTGAGAAGCCCCCTCTTTTTGCTGCTACTATTTGCAGCTGGATGATACTTTTCTTTAAAATGTGTAAAAACTATTTAAATTGATATTCCCCAAATGTGGATGAAGTGAGGCCCTTCAACAGCTGGAGTCTTGTGGGATTCTTCACATACCTTAGGTGTATCTTTCACAGAAGGCAGGGAAACTTGTTGCAGGAAATGTTTTGGTGTATGAAATTAGAATAACCTGGTCAACCAATATAGAACATGACCCCATTTTAATGTGATTTTCTTCCCATTATCACAACAGTAGGAGGAATGAAGTCTTGTTTTAGGTGAGATGGAAAGAAAGGAGAAAACAGAGAACTGTAACAGTTCCTTGATACTGCAGACACTGTGGCTGTTTTAGGATTTGATAGTAATTCAAAGCAGCTAACTCCTTCTTTCTCATGTACATATTACATTGTTTCTGAGCATCTGAGAAGCATTGATTTGACATGAATTCTTTTGCAAGGGATATGTGCAGTTGATATGACTATCGTTTGGAGGGAATCTTTGTATTCTTAACAAAGATTTAAGTCACACCTCTAACGGTCCATTCTTCTTAAGTGAAATTTACTTGGTACAATAGGTTTTAAAGGCTTTGAGACTTACACATGAAACACTGGCTTTACTGGGTTCTAATAAATGTGGGGTGTACACTACCCTTCAGTGAGATACTAGAGCCTTGAAAGATACTATATTAAGTTACACTTAGCTTTTTTTGATTACCATTTTTTAGTGTTATAATGTCTTATTAGTTTCTACAGCATCTTAGATGATTTTAGATCTTAGATGATTTTGGCAGCCTCTTTAGATTCTGAGAGAGATCACTGTCAAGTTGCACTTTACTGGGTTTTATCCAGTTTCAGGAGGAGAGGAGACAATGTCAAGATATATACTTTTGGTTTTCAAGAAGGTTAACTATGATAATCTTTAAAAAGTTGGTTGTAGAATTACCTGATGCTCATTCTGTGAAGCCCAACAGAATTCTTAAATGGTATGTATCAACTACCTTTATACATGCTTAAAATACTTGATTTTTACTCTGAAGATTTTGAAATATATATTTACCTTATAATGAGTTCTATCTACTGGTAAATATTCCAAATTATCAGCCAACATTTCTGTGTAACAGATTTTCCTCCATATTCCTCTAAAGATATTATTCCATAAGCTTGCCGGGTAATGAGGAAAACTTAATAAGTTGACTTTTTTCCCATAGTCTACTTTATGAAATTCAATACCCTTTTTTTTTTTAAAAAAATGTATCTTCTATTGCTTACCTAGTTATGATCACACTCACCATTATGATGATTCTATCAGTATCATTTGGGGCATCCAGGACAGCATTTTGAGAATTGCTGTTGATGAGGGCCAGTTTCTTTTAATAAAACATACTCTGGCTTAGATGAGTCTTTCTAAATCTTATATGCAGATTCTTCAAATTTATTCTACAGTATTAATTTGTAAGTTGAAGTGACTTGAGGATATTAATGTAATGCAAATGCTTGCAATGTTTTCCATGTGTACAAAAAAATAATGCACCTAAAATCTGTAATTCTTTAAAACTGTTCATGTTTTATTATAGGAGTTGGCTTTGTATAAATTACAATGGAATTTACAAACTTTAAAGTAAAAATGCTGCAGGTTTTAAGATCCCTTCTTCTTTATTCACAATATTTTTAAACCGTATACCCTAGGATGAAAAACGCTCCATGGATGACATGCATAATTACATTTAATAAAATGGCTATTCTACTCCAAATATCCGCATTTTGCCACCACATCTGATTTATATATAACTCATCATTTCTTTGCCTGCAGACTTTTGCAGTGCCTTGTAATATTTAGAATCTTTTCAGATTTTTTTCTGGAAAGAAAAGTAGTCTTCTAAAGTTTGAAGATGGGGAATACTGTACAGCTGTCTCCATGCCGGCTGCAGTAGTTGGGTTAATGTATATGTTATATATACATTGTGTATATGTAACATGTGCAAGTTTTAAAATGCAGAAAAAATGTGTTTGTGCAGAAATGAAAACAGTGTTATTCACATCACTGTGGTATTTTATGTATTTTTCCCATTACTTAAATGTTTGAATCAGATTATAGTCATTTTGACTGTAAATATTGGCTAGTTTTCTATCTTGGGATTTTGCATTATTTCATAATTTTGCTAAATCATATAATAGTGCTGTTTTCATCCGTGCTGAGAAATAATTAACTCTTGAGGTAAAACTCAAAAATTACCATCTTAATAAGGAGCCTACTATATAACAAGGGCTTTCTACCTATTTCCAAAACCACACAAACTGTCCTTTTTCATTTCCTTCTTGTAGAAGAGGAAAAGGTTATTCTAAACATCTGCTTGTAAAATTTATTTTGGGGGTAGTCTCTATGTCCAACCACCATGTTTACTTCTCAAAGTGCAAATCTGATGAACATAGTACTGTATCTCTATATGTGGCAATGTGAGCATTTCATTATGAAGTACCTGCTGCTATATTTGTGATGTTGGATGTAACATCTTAAGAATATGAAACACTTTTGGTGTAAATCTAATGCAAATAACCCTATGTATATTTGTAGCAGTCTCAAATCTCTACCTAAGGTAATTTGCTGTAATATAACAACTACCCATTCTCTTTTCCATCATTTTCTTGCCATTTTTTTAATCAAGCATGAATGTGAATGGTTTGACAGTAAAATTACCTGTGAGAATTTAAAGGCACTTTTCTGCTGCGATTCTTGGATTAAAAGTGGAGGTTATATACAATACAATGGGATATATCATTTTAGAGCCCCAGATTTTATTCTAGTCCAATTACTTTTGTTTATCTACCTCGTTTTCAGTGCTGTTTTGGGGTGCACAAGTAAACACTGCCTGTGAGACTTGCTTTTTTGCCTTGATTCTGAGTATTTTTTAAGGTTATAAATCCTAGCCTGCCTCTGTGTCCCAGTGCTAATAATATGAGTTTGAGTTGAGAGGGACCATCACTCTGCCACCAATCTGTAGTTAAGTGAAGGAACCATGTGGCCTCTGTGAAATAAACCTTGAGGATTTGGGGATGGAGAGCAGAAAATAAATCCAGCAGGTGGCAATATAGGACTTAGTTATAGGAGTTATTTGTAAAACAAATGATAAGAAAGTACCTGATTAGACAGTCTAGTGCCTGTTACTTTGCATCTCTTATTAGAGGTGCATTTCTCATGTGCCTAAAGGGCTATGGGTTGAAATTGCTTTAACTACCACAGTTAAATATTTGACAAATCCTACAGCAATGGCCTGTCATTCAGCTTATTAGCACACTGCTACGTTTTTGCAGTGATATTTTGTTACTTTAAAATGGTCTATATTTTTAGTTGGATTGTAGTTGGTGGTAACTGTCTATCCAGTCTCTAAAATTCATGGAGGCACTGGCTTTTTCTTTGCTGTCTTTGCAAAGTGATAACAATGATATATTACTTTTTTCTCCAGAACATTCAGCAAATGTTTCTAAACCACATGTTCCTTGTTTCATATATTTACTGTGTTATACGGTAGCTTATTTAATCTTGGTAAATACTGTGTTTCAGGCATCATGTATAAGTCCATTCCTGAGGTTCATTTGCCATTAATTTGGTTTCAGTTATTTAATCTTTTGTTTGTTTCAGTAAAACGTGAGCTATTTGAGGAGGTGTGCAGGTCATTTTCTAGAATTGATGGTTCATTTTTCATTCTATATTTGACTGGAATTTTGTTTTCCCTTCTTTGTTTAGATGATGAATCATTAAATGGGGAATGGGTATAGAAAAGGCCATTGACTTGGTAAATGTAATTTCTGGGATTGAAATTTTTTAAAGATCCAGATTGTAAAATGGTACTACTCAAACTTGGTAAAATCCCTTGAAGTGAAATGAGTAGAAAATATTTATGGAGTCAAGTGCTTTCAGATCACTTTGGAAATAGTTTTTTATATAAAGGATGAATATAAACATTGGTCAGGATCTTTGATAGCCAACATACGTAGGGACCTAGAATAGTAACCAGGTTACACTGAAGTTGTTTTTTAACTGAAATAGCTGGAAGAGTATATAAACCAACAGCTTGCATTCTGGAATGTTTTCTTTTAATTGAAAACATAATCCAAAGAAAAAGACTAAAAGTCAAGCAAGAAAGAATGAGACAAACTGGGTTCTAAGAAAAAATGTGCTAGTGTAATAAAAACTGCTAAATGTGTGCTTGTCATCCTTCCAACTTCGTTTTTACGTTGTATTTTTTTCCACTATAACTTAAAACTTTAGATTGAGGTTTGTGGTCCAGAAAACACTCTCAGCAGAAATAATGACTGACTGGAAAGTACAGTTGTTCAAGGTCTGTCATGCTCAATCACTTACAGCTGTAATCTGTTTGATATGAATATTAAGCATGTAGACCTAGTGCAGCATGGGAACCACTCAGGAAGTTTATGCAACTAATAAACTTTCACACATAATTTACTATGAAGTATGCAGAATTTCCGCCTCTCCTCTACACTTAACGTTTAGTTGATATGTGAATTCTCCTTTCTTAATTGGGGAATGTAGCATTATATAGAATGTTGATTTTAATTCTTAACATTAATTGTTTTTCTTTTGTAAACCAAGCGATCTGCCTTTAGGTCTAATTTTGGTTCTTGGAAAACATGATTTTTATTTCATTTGTACCCACCACTGTAAGAATTTTGTTTGTTTCCTGGGAATTTTGTTTTGAAACAGAAAATAAAGGCTGTGTTAAAATAAGTATGTTATTAAAATGCTGTCATAGTCACTGCAATTATCTGGTTCTTTATTTACCAAATGTAATCTAGCCGATTTCAAAAATTTAGTCCCATGGAGTATGCTGGCTGACCAAGCTATATGTTCCCTCTTGATTTATTTATTTCAACAAAATTTGAGTTAAACTTCTTTTCTACACTTGTAAATGAGCCATAATTTTAACAGTCGCTGTGATTTACTGAGTACCTAATATGTTAGGGTTTTACCTGTGATATTTTTAAATTTGCAATCTTAAAAGAGAAATCTATTATTCCCACTTTACAGAGTTAATTTGAGGATCACAGCAATTAAAAGACTTACCAAGGTCACATAGCTAACCTTTAGTTAAGTGGGAATCCTGGATCCAAACCCAGGGTATAGGCAAAACTCTGGATCATACAGACTCTCTAATGTACTGCATGAATAACAATCCAAATACATTTGGAATAGGTTTTCATCTAATTATTAGAACTGGTATGTGTTTTTGTGAAGCTATCACCAGTGCTTCTTTTGTAATTCCAGAAGTGAAGTATGTGCTTATCATACAAGCAAGGATTTAGAATGTTCCCTTCGCAGACACTTAAGGAGTGATTATGGGCCACCTTTAGAAAACAGTACATTTGGGAATCTTTCACCACACTACAGTGATTTGGGAAATTGTCACATGAGGTCATATCACTTGTTAAGCTGATCATATAGGTAGAAGGGTCGTGCATATATTTATGTAAACCAGCCATGGGAAGAGAGTATGTGTTCTATAAGAAATATACAAAATTAGATGAGGATTTTTAAAGTTTTGACTTTAAAGCCTCCAATGATAGTGAGGCTTTCTGTCTTAGATGAACCCTAAAGGGAAGACACAAAGTACATAACTGAATGACTGGGGTTTTTGATTCTCACACTTATGAAAAAAGACCGATGGGGGGGGGACCTCCATTTTTCCATTGGTCAAATGAGGTGGTTGTATTAAGTGAGATATGTAAATACAGCTACCTTTGTCCCTAATTTACTGTTTGTTGCTATAAAATATAGATTATTGTTAGACATCTCTGATGACTTTCACACTAAACTTGCACTTGGGAAATCAGGCTTGTTTGGAATTGGGCTCTGATTCTTTTTACAACTGATACAGATACCTTTGGAATCTGGCAGATCTGGCTTTGTATTTTAGCTTTGTGAATGCCAGAAAGTTTCTTAACTCTCCAGCAACAATTTCCTTATTTGTTAACAAAGATAACTGCTTGGTGGGGTTGTTTAAGACTAAACGAAGGGGCTTCCTGATGGCCTAGGGGTTAAATCTCCAGGCTATCACTGGATGGCCTGACTAAGATACCTGGCCAGAGAGCTAATCCACATAGCTCAGCAGACCTCTCCTGTCTTGCCTGTTGCTCCCCTCAGCAGTAAATCTCAGTAGATCTGTATGTTCCGCTCCCCACTCTGTTTCTTGTGAGTCCTCTCAGC